GCAGGGTTAACGTGCGTTTCGCTTTTCTCAATTAGGGAGTGGTATTTGTTGTTTGGGAGCGGCCGTATTTGGAGTTGGTGAAGGTTGAAAGTTGGGAAAGGGCTCGAATTTGGGAGTTTGGTAAGGAAACGGAGTTGTTCCATTGTATTTCGGGGTGAAGGACTGAATGGGGGAAGTAGAGATTTCCCGTTTCAAGTCGGGATGTACCCCCCCCCCTAGTGGTCAGAGACGGATAAACATACCAAACTTCTGCTTTATATATAGAGAGGATTGCGTATGTTCTGTGTGTCTGTTTGAAAAAATTAGGTACTATCTAAGGTACGACACTACTCAATCAATATTGTGATCGCAATTCGAGCAGTGCGCAAAAACCTATATTTTCTAAAGATTGTCGCGTAAGTCCCGAACACCTAATCGGGCCGTGCGCCCCTACCGTCTTGTTACCGGGCTCTGCCTTATCCTAACACGCCTGTGGGCGACTTTCCTGGCCCATCCGACTTACGTCTAACACTTGTCTTGGGTTTACTCGTAGGCATGCGCCTAGTTACAGACGACAGACAGAACACACAAACATACCAAACTTCTGCTTTACATATAAAGAGGATTACCAAAGATGTAAGGCAAATACATAGCCAAATAATCCACCGAAAATTATCCCTCCTCCTCAATAAAAGTAAAATTCCGCCGCTGGGGCGGAGTTTGACAAATGATAAACAATGCAAAGACTGCCGATGGCGCCCTCAATGAAGATTCTATCTCTCCTTCAGCCTTGAGATGAGGAAGGGCAAGCCCGCTTCAGTTCTTTGAGCTGGCTAGTTCCATGTCAGCAATTGGGCGGCTATGAAGCAGCTTATTCCGACCATTTCTGCTCGTTTGGAATTATCTGAGTACGTATCTGCATCGATGATTACGAAGATTACCCTACTCCATACAACGCAGCGCTTTTCATTTGCCCGGTTTGTGCATATCTGCTCACTTTTAAAGTCCTAGCGTCCTTACAATGACAAATCTGTAATCCTTGTGTCTCGTAGGTCTATCCCTCACACGTCATTGATCCACATGATCTCATCCTGCGTTTGCTTAAAGTTATCACTATATTATAATCCACAATTCTGCTGTTCCGGATTGCATCTCCTTCCGTATCGGGATTTGTAGGTATATAATGCCCAGAGGCAAAATTTATTTATTTATTTATTGAAATAAAGTGACAAGCAACTAATGGAATCAGCCACCAAAACTACGGAGCTTGTGGATCTTGCGGTATCAATGTTCATGGTGTCAGACAGCAGTGATAACATCTTCAACTGCTATATAAACACCTACTGAGCGAATGTCAATGATGCTGGAGGTGATGGAGGGCAGGAAGGAGTAGAAACTAAGCAACAAATCTATGGTCGTTAGAGTTGAGGTCATTCAGAGCAGTGATAAGACACTCCAAATTTATGTGAACGTCCATCGGGTACAAATCAGTCCATTTCGCATAGTGCTGCCGTGGTAAAGGTAGGGGTCGAGAAGTGGGTTGAGGGGGAGACGAATCCAACTAACAATAAAGCTGGGGTCCGAGTCAGTGTTGATATTCCATTAACAATGAGATATTACGATGGTGCCAATACCTTAAACTATCTAAAGATCCTTTTCGTGCATAGACATATACCTACAAAGTGTTGGGATGCCCAGCACAGCGAAAGGTGAGAAGCGAACGCAAGAAAGGAAGGTGCCGGCTGCTGAAATAAGGGAACACTAGTCGATAATCGTCGTAGGAAGCGTAAAGGGGTGTTGTGCAGTCGAATCTAAAGAAAGACGATGTTCACGATGAATAGAATGGTCCCCCAACACGCTGAAAGAATCGAATATCTCTCCAATAAAAGTGCTCCTGCTACGTTGGGGCTTTGGTCAAGAAATCGAAAAGTTGAAAAAAATTGTGCTCCAGAACTGCAGACAGATACGCGCGGGGGGGGGGGGGAGGAGTAAGGAAGCGAGGTTTGATAGTTCGAGGAGTAGTAAAGAAAGCAGCTCTGATTCTGCAGCCCTTTCCGCTTAATACGCTAGAGACCTAGACTGCGTGAAAGCAGAACGAATGTGCGGTCAACGCCTTAAACCGCGCTTAATGCTTGGAAATTACTCGATACCTACCTACAGAGAAAGAGTACTGAGCTCCGTCAATGATCGAAGATCAGATACGTTGCCCTCTTGCCGAAGAATAAAAGATCGGTTGGGCTGAGCACGTCATGCGATTCTGTGATGACCGCTGGGCAATCGCGGTCACCGACGAGGACCTTTGGAATGTCAAACAACCCGAGAATGCTCGGTGGCCCAGCAATGGTCTTTTCGAAGCTTGTGCGAAGGAATTGATCGGCATTTGTCGCTTGATGCAAAGAATCAAGGTTGAAAGCTGATGGGTGCTTCCACTCCGAATGTGCAAGAGGGATGAGAGGTGGGTCGCCAATGGAGAAAAAGGGAAGAAAATACGAGCTTTTCGCATACGCTGCGGAGAAGTTCCAAAGGCAGGCAGGGAGATGAAAAACAATGCGAGAGCGGAGAGCGGTAGAGAAGTCCAAGAAGAGAGCACCATTTACCCTTTACTGCCCCACTCCTTCAAAAACTGAGCTGGGTTTTTGTCGAAATTTGTCCATGACAAGGATTTGACCACAAAGTTGTCTAGAGGGGTATTTCACCCCGTAGGACGAACGTCATACTTGGCGTACGCTGCGAAGAAGGCGTCGGCGCCAGCGGTCGTGGCCGCCCGGCACTATCACATCCAGTATTGAAGGCCGGTTGCACTGTAGCGGCAGACTATCAAGGCTTCCCGCCCACGCCACAAATAATGGTGACATTTCAGGTTCTCTGCGGATCCCTACCCCTGACGACAAGTTCCCAGCAAATTTGGTGAACTAGGTGTTCTGGCGCCGTTATTGGGCTGTGCCGCGGGCGCCAGGCGTTTTTTGCATGAAACGAATGCGATATTCGTCTTCGGGTTGAAACACCCCGAGGGCAAACTCCCATCCGAGTCCACAGTCATGAATAAACTTCGATAAAAATCCAGTTCAGTTTTCGGGGAGTGGGGCTGTAAAGGATAAATAGTGTCAGGGTTCTTGAGTGGGTCTGAGAGCGAACTTTGCCTTCAAGTTCTCGGGGAGGGGGGTAGACTCACTGAGATATCTGACACAAGCGAGGGCGACCCGAGGCTTTACAGGCGCCCGCTCGCAGAACACGACAGACACGGCACAGCTCGGTGTTACACAAGAGAATCTGTTCCTCGCATCATCGTAATAAAATGAGGCATTATCCAAAGGTAGATATATCGACCAGCAAACAGCCTGCAGTCCATCCCACGCGCGAAAACCATCAAAAATCGAACGAGATAGCTTCAATATAGACAATCGTACACAACGGAACTATAAAATGTCACGCTATCATCGTCAATTTGTGAGTTCGGCTAAGAAATTTCAGAGCTGAGCTCATGGTGTATCAAGCATGCATCGAATTGTGAAACAAGCACTTGGGAATTCTCTGGGATGCTTGATGAACAAGGTAGATTTCTTTTACAAAATTAGGTGTACGGCCTCCAGAAGCCGTCCGGTTCCGTCATCCTAAAAAATTAGTATAGCGTGATCTTTTACTTCTCTTGCTGGAGCAATGCAGACGCCTACCGCTTTCGGTGTGGAGACACGAGCGGTCGTGCAGCCCTCATCCTTAAAATAGCGCATTGTTAACCTAACTCCGAAAACAAACCACTACTATACCATCACAACATATTCGTGCCCAACTACAGGTTGACAAAATGACGGTGACAAGAGCAGCTGCATGCATTTTTTGCAAACTGACAAGTAGATAATACATAATGATAATTGTGAGCCGAGATAATTCGACTGGAGTTCGAGGAAGCGATTACGATAAAGAGGGAGCGCATCGGGGAAGCATATGCACCACACGAAGCAGTTACTTGGCTGCCAAGGAAGCGAGGTGTGGCGCTTTCACGACGAAAGGTGCGCTGGTTGCTGAGCAGGACTTCGAAAGCACTCCGCCCCAAAAGCGATCCGCCCACTAGTTTAGTTGGTGATTTGGACGAGCTGCGTTGCCAGCAGCGGCACAACTGGAGCAACTCGACTGGAGCATGGATTGGCATGGTGCCACCAAACGCGTTGCGGTGAATTCCATACGTCCGCCGTCTCAGCCGCCTTGAGTCTTGTCGTCTGCCCGTCCTTGAGCAAAGATCAAGGACCAAACAGGGAATTCCTCTATTCGCGTTTTATAGGTGAAGTGCTTCAGTAATCTCGACCTTGCCACACAACCGAGCCCTCTAAACCTCTAGATAAAGCTGCCTTCAAGATTGTGGGGAAGCCTCTCAAGATGAAGGCCCATATGCGCAGAAAAAAAAGTTTCCCAGTTTCTAACTACCTGTGAAACGGACTTCCCCTCCACCTGTAACATGTTCTAGAGTGTGTTGGCCAGAATACTCCGCTACGTTGTCGTGCCGACATTGTTCAATTCGAGAACAATGTTCTTCGTTACTTTACATTCAAGAATATAGATAGGTTTCCAATTCTTGGCGGTTTAGATCTTTCATGATCACTTCATCTTGTCAACCCAATATGTGGCCACCAATATGAAAACGACAAAATTTTATTTCTCAACGACAGCGAAAAAGACCTACCGCTCTCGGAGTGGGCTCAGATGCGGTCCTGCAGCCCTCATCCTGTAAATACTGCATTGAATCAACTCGATTCTGAGTACATCTACAACGATCATGACACTCGATTGATATTGCATTGATATTGCGAGGATTATGAGCCGTGAGTACGCTAAGTAAGAGATTCCCACTCTACAATCCAGTCATTACTCTAGTTTTGTCACTGTAGCTTAATTAATCCTATCAACACCCGTGGAGCACCTAGTCATTTGTGAGGGATACTTTGCGGGCTGGCGCACAAGCAAATAGACAGAAATACATCCGGACCTATGAACCTATATATCTACTTACAGAGCTAGCTGCACCTCAATTAAGTGATGAATATAATAGACCGAGAAGTTACTAGAGCGAAAAATCGTACCGCTTTTGGTGTAGGTTGCACAGCAGTCCTCGAACCTTCACTCTGAAAGTGCGATAACATTTTACCAGACTTGAAATCAGAATAGGATCCTTTCGTATTCGTAAATTTGTAGTAAAACCGGACGACGTCTTCGAAAGCACGTTTCACGATAAAGGGAAAATCTGGTGTGAATAGGTGTTAAGCCGCCGGAAAGGAGGAGAAACTGCCGGAGAATGTACTTGGAGGGTCTCCTTTTTCTTCAACTCTGCGATGCATAAATAGTTAAAAGTGCCAAGCGCCGAGTCACGACAGACAACTGAGATGGCCAAGACCTTGAAGGTGGACTTGTGTGGGACATAAATTGCTCATTCCTGCGAGTCCTGAGTTCTCAGCGCTCTTGTGATGGGTTTTGAGTGAAGTGGAACTCACCTCTACCTTTGGTGTGGGTTGGTTCGCAGGAGTGCACTCTTCACCCTAAAAATCCAGTCCTTGTATAAGATTACTCTAATCTAATCCTTCCCTAAAAGTGACAAATCCAACGCACGCGTGTGAGCTCGAGATGCAGCCAAAAGTCTCATAAAGACTCACTGATATGAATTTCTCGGTCGTGCGTTTTGTCACAATTTCTGTAGTTTTCTCGGACGTCGTTCTCGCCGTTGTCACACCAGGTGGTCCTTCTTCCTTTGCAGTTACACACTGGAACGCAGAAACCGCAGTTTTGTGGATCACTTTTGACTGTGCCTTATACATAAGGTAGAATGTGGAATTCAGATAGGATCATAAAAATATCACCTCTGTTGTTTGCGGTGTGGGTTGACCAACAGCCGTAGACACCTCAGCCTAGAAAAAGAACAAGTAAGCAACAACGCTTTCTCGTTCACTATTACAATTCTGAACTGGGGAAGTGTGGAAGAGCTGCCACAAGAGCATTTGATTTCATTTTTTTACACATCCCAACAAATACTGAGCTGAACTATTGATAAAGTCCATTTTTTTCAAATGACCAAAAATTTGTTTGTGTCATTCTCGCGTACAAAGTGTGTAGCCCTCACAACCATTTATAACAAGAAAGAGCCTTTTCCTTTTTAGAGCCACTGTCAACTTGAAGGCATTGGTTGCCATTACATCCTCAGAAATTTCTCTTCGAGTGAAGTAACGGGAGCCTATTTAAAGACGTGGTGCTGTCGCGACATGAAGGTGCGCGCAAGGGATCTGATACCTTTGCTTCACCGCTGCGACCGCAGCCAATCGTATCAAGCGATGCAAAGGTGGCGTGTGAGCTCTCTCGCGTAAGCAGTTCTCTCTCGCATGTTCCGTCTCCTCGCAGCACTGTGTCTTCGATCGTACCACGGTCGCCTTCATCCTTCTCCGATATTAACGCACCAGGGCAGCAGTGCAATCAATCCTTGCCTCTGGAAATTTCTTATAGGATCCGCAGCGAAACATTATAGCGCCACAGTGTAAGATTCGATAAGAAAAACGACTTTTCATCGCTGGTCCGGTTGGGGCTTCATAGCACTGAAAACACGCTATGCCAAAAGGATGTGTATCTAGACCGCTTCAGAAGCTTCTCGAAGCGTACGTGCTAGCTTGCAGTTGATGCGGACTCCCTAAAGCCACGAGCTCCCTCCCACAAGAAGGCGAAAAATATCAAATGCTGGACCAAGAATCCCACGCTAGCAATGAGTGAGGACACGTGGCAACATCTAGCAAACCTTGTCGATGAGTAGGTGACGTTTTGAATGATTCAACAAGTGATTCAACAGTCACTGAAAAAAGAAACTAATGAGGAAGAGAAAGGCGTTTTGTGCGAGCCACGTGCGGAGGCGGCAGTGGGCAAAGCGCTGCCTCCAAAATCACTTCTCCGACAGTGCGACTAAAGGGCCCATCACGACAGTTGTGATTGATCAGATCATAAGATCAGTAAACATCTGCTGAAACACTGTTTGAAGCTTCGTAGACCTGGAGCGGAACTGGCAAAACTGCAGCTTCCCATGGAAGAAAGTTTCTTGCCTCAAGGCATCACGAATACTTCATTGCTGAGGAGAAGGGAGCATAGAGCAACCTGATTCCAAAGAACTGCCTCACCGCAGGGCTAGTGAGCGTGGGGGGAGAGCAGTGGTGGCCTAAATTCCTTTGATTTTACACCTACTGACTACCGCCGGTCCCACTCGGTTGTTCCTTTCGGGAAAGGAAATTATTAATCGCAAATCCCTAGAACTAGCCCGCATTCAGGTGTTCATAACAACGGTCCTGTAGAGCGATCGAACTGTTGCTGAATGTCGGCGATGCAGCGATGCCGCATACTGCAGTACATGGTCGGGATGAGGAATATTTCGCTGCATTAGGACAAATCCTCAACTTTGGGAACCCATTTCCGATCGGGTACTGCTGCATCGACCGTAGGATTGTGCCGTCCTGGATAATGACATTGGATAGTAGTCGATTCGAGATGTTTGTTACAATTATACTCTTCTTTTTTGAAAAGAAAGCACCTGAGTGGAGCCAGTGCCGGACTGGGACGGGAACTCGCCCCCGCCTGGACGCTGGTGCATACGCCCCGTGAAAGGAAGTTGTGCACTGCTCACTAGTGAGCACCTGCTGTTTGATTACACTGGTAGAAGCAGGTTGGAATGGTCAAGTTTTGAATGAATGTGTGAAAATCGAACACAACTCATGACACAAGCTAACAAGCGCAATGCAACGATACTCCGTTTATTAGAATGAAATGAAAAGAACAAACACCATAAACCATACCGGTGTTGGTGTTGGTTGAACAGCAGTCCTATACATAGCCTGCAAATCACAAAAATATCATATCAATGGCTGTCAAAAGACCGTTCAGCTAGAGCGTGTGCTCTGAATACGTCAATATTTCCCGGAAGTTGTGCACAGACAGGAACCTTATTATTTTACTTTACCAGATTAGTCCCCCGTCAACCGCCGGGACCTTCCTTTCCTGCGCAAGCTTTCTATCCTCCGCTATGGTCCCTTCCTCCTGTGACACCAACACCTCTGGAAGTGACGCGTATGCAACACAATGGTGTTTCAATACAGTAGAAGGGACACAATCATGATATGACGGTAGATTTTTCGCTTCCCTTCCTCATCCTCCCTTCCTCTCTCCACTGCCCTCCAGCTGCCACTGCAGCACCATGTGGAATGAACGGAAGTGTGCTAAGCAGGTGTTTATATAGCCCTAAGAGTGTTATCACAACTATCCTGCTACAAAACATTGATATCTCAAATCCTGTAAGCTACCCGATTTGTTAGCGGTTTGTTTATCCCATGAGCTTCCTTCTCACTCACTTCATTTTGCGGACGGACACACATACATACATACACACACACACACACACGCACACACACACATACAGATACACAAACCGACACACAAAGTTAGCGCTTTATATAATAGAAGGATGATACAACTTGTTACAATTCAAGGCGAGGTCGGCGAGTCAAGGCGAGAGGCGTTACACTAGATAAGTTTATAAAAAACCAGTCGTATCGCACGTCACTGGATAGTGTGCGCCGCTCACGAACAATTTTTTTCGCACATTCTTAATACTGTAATGTGTACTCTCAAATGGTAACTAAATTGTCAGTTCATTTTTCAAAAATATTCAGTGGAGTGAGATGGTGTGCTGAGAAGGCCATCACCACACGCACGGTCTCTGGGTCAAATATTTGGTCAAATTCTGACACGCTTCCAAACTTCTAAAGACTAGTTGTGCTGACAATTGCTATGCGAAACACATCAACATAATTTCAAAAAAGATGTAGCCCTAGGTCAAGGTTTCCTCGCAGCTCTCGGATATCGACTGTAGGTAGTAAGCTACAGCCAGTTACCACAGCCACTGCGCTTTTCTGCTTCATATTTCCTTTCAGAGAAGAGTTCAGCAGATAAGGAACACATATTTGAGCTCAGCGTCCCAAGGCGCGTATAGACATATACATCTCATTTCAATTGGCCGGGTTGACCAAATGACCTTTCCTGGTAAGATTTAGGGTCATTCCGCACCTAGTTGCGAAGCTAGGTGCGAAAAACTCAATCTTCCCACCTGCTACACACTCGTAGCCTGTTCACCTGGAAGCTCTACAGAACGAGTGTCATCATATACAAGTGGAACTGGTAATTTCTGCGCACATATGCACACCTTATTTCCTCTATATATGCAACACATATTTGTCCTACCTAGACCGCATCGAGCGACCCTATTCCCCTATTTGCTGTTTCTTTCTACTCGCAGTATTTCACCCTAGCATCTAAGTTCCCAATTGTGCCGTCCCTTAGTATATCACATTCAGCTTCCTCAGATGTCGCATGTCACGTCAGAATGTCAACAAGCGTCAATGTCAACAGCAAGAGTTAGTTAGATTAAGTTGGAGAGCGAGAAGCTCCGAGATTCTCAGAGTGGCGATTACAATTGTTCTGATGCACCCCGACCAGTCTGAACCCACTCAAGCATGAACTCTTACCGTAGGCGTAGGCTCAGAAGCAGTCCGACAACCGTCATCCTATAAAAATAAAAAGATAGCGTGGTGCTTTAGCTGCTAGACTCAATGACAAGAATCCTACCGCTTTCGGTGTGAGCACGCGAGCAGTCGTGCAGCCCTCATCCTGCAAATAACGTTATCAAGTTGATTTCGAAGTCAAAAGAGTAATACATTTCGAGAAGCAAGACCTAATACAGTGCATATCTTCGTCAAAATATTGAGGCCCAAAACTAAAGGGTGACCACAAGTAACAGTGAGAAGAGCCCTTCTTGTAATTTTAGAAGTAATCCGAGATAATTTTGACTGCAATTTTGAGAGCATCGGGAAGCATTCCGGTGTGAACACCCCTAGACGCAAAAAAGATTTAATAGTTTTTCACACGAGTTGAATTCGATCCTGCTATATATCACCCGCCTAGCGGTTGTGACTGACCGAGCATCCAATCTTCAGTTCCTTTGAGCTCAGAGCGCTAAAAATTTCAGGGTGTATGGGTGGGGCTGGATATCAACATTGATGTTGCGTGATCGAAACTGATAACCTACTGATTAAAGCTGATAACGGACGTAGGAAGGCCGATGTGATTTTCGCTATACCGTTTACGTTGACAGTGGAGTGTTTGCACTTATAAGAAGTATGTGATGTTGGTCGATGACCCAACTATACAGAGCGAAAAGGTGTGACACCAAGTGATAAAGCTCGCGCCGTGCGCCGAAATGGTAATGGTACAATTTTGTTACACTCCTGCATTGACATTTAGTGTTTGTGCTCATGTATGTTATGTGGGGTGAGGCGGGGACCAAGAAGTTGAGTGAACGAATGTGGTAGCAACTGATAAGAACTGATAAGGGGCGTCAAAGTGTGGATACCACCAGTTTCGTTGCGGCCCTCGCCATTGGAACCTTGGCTCTCACATGTGGTGTGGGTGATCGATTGAGAACACGAACAGTGGGTGACCAAAAGAGATAACAATCGTTAACGGCAGATGAGGAGTTTTGAGCACCATCAATTTCGTTAAAGTCTTCGTGGTGACAGTAAATCCCTAACTCCTACATGTTGCATGGTGGTGGGACGGGGACACCGATGGTGAGCGGTATGAACTGATAACAAATGATAAGGAATAATAAGTGGCGTTCATGCACATATTGCCATTCTCTTGCAATCACCACTGGCAAACGATCAAGGTAGCGGGTGCTGCTGGTGTGTGTGAGGTGGTAATAAGCAAAAACTGTATTAATATTAAAGACACTCAGTTTGCACTTAGTCGAACTAAACCAAGCGCTCAGCAGAAAATCATGTTTAATTTCTAATCCTTAACCAAGTGAAGAAAAAATAGTTGAGCCAGCCGATAAACTATTTAAACTTGCACCAAGTGGTGATTTTCCATAAGAGTGAGGCACAAGATGCTTGGTGATTGGCCTTATTTCATTCTTACACCGATACTATCAGGTTGAGTCATGAGTGTAAGTACCGAAATTTTCACTCGACTTTCCCAAACATCAACTTTCCGATGTTTGTGTTGTTCCCCGCAAAGGAGTATGTGACAAATATAGTGTCCTTTCATATTACGAGAGTCGACTGCATGTACTCGTCTTTAGGAAGCGATAATGCCGTCCATTTCAACACATTTTGTCACTGTCTATTTTACGAGCTCCGTCTGCCCCCCCCCAGATGGAGCCTGCTGGAAAATTTGTAAATCTGGAACATGCTCGCTAAAAGAGAACATCTGTTAGATGTGGTTTGAGAAGCCTCGCCTTCGGCTCATAAGACCAACCACGTTTCGGACACCCAATGGTAGATATTGGATGCATGCAACAGCTTCTTGAAGGCAATCCAGCATCATGACCATTCAACCACTGCAGTGACTCTCAGTCCAGGCACTATGTGTCGTTCCCTTTGAGCCATGGAGAAGTTGTACAGCTAGAAACATGGAATTCTCACGAGTTGGACGAGGTGGCTCGAAGGACACGTGTGATCATCTCACAAAGTTTGCTGTCTAAAAGGCGTTGTTTCGATCGGCTTGACAAGGGGTCACTGGGGTTGAGGAGTGCGCAGTCTAGCCAAGCAATATAAACATTAATGGAACACGCAGCTCAGCAGCGACAGCGAGCCCCAATAGGTGAACTTCATCCGGAGTAGGCTCCACTGTCCGACTGCATTGCTACGAGCGATACCATCAATACGGAACGGACATCTACTGCTCACAGCTGGATAAACTTGTTTCGGATATCGCAAAGTGAAGTTTCGAATACATAAAATTGTTCCACTGCCCAGCAGCTCGCAAATCACATGAAACGAGGGAATGCCAGAATACCGCACAGGAACTAAGCCTCATGATTTTTTCCCCGCTCTTCATAATCCAGTAACTTATAGCAACCAATAATCAGTTGTTCCGCTCGCTTGCTCGTTTCCTTAACGAGAAAAGTACGGCGACCGCGAACACCTCAAAACAGACGTCCACCACTTGGCGTCAAAAATTGCTCAATTCTGTGAGAGAGGTATCCTTTCACTCGCGGATAGATAGAGGACACCTGTAGACAGCTGTGGTAAATAGGGCACCTAATCAAGTGGTTCAAAGAAAGTTGTGAATTCCGAAATTTTTTGTCAATTTGGCACTTACTTGTGACTCAACCTAATAATGGCGGAAAAAAGAACACGCTAAAACATTCGAGTTCGATATCAATGCTAGATGTTTACGAAGTTATGTTAAGTACTACCGCATACTACTGTGCGCACTACGCGATAATTTTCAGTGATACATATTGGTCAGACTTTGAACTTCATGCAGTTCTTTTTGAAGCATCTTAATATTAGTTCCCAAGCAGTGCGACCTAACATTCTTCAGGTTTCCAACTTCAATGAAGCCAATCATGTGAGGCGCGCGGGTGCGCGCGGACTAAACTAATTTCAGATGATGTTTTGATGCTATTTCGATATTAATTTCCTGACTGCCTCTAGAATGAATTTTCCGTTTACTATTAACACGCTTTGGAGTGGGTCGATCGAAATAGTTCGCTTTCTCTAAATGCGGACATCATTCAATCGGGAAAATACGCTTGTACTCCGTTAGTTAACAGACCACAGCATAGCATACAGCATACAGCTAAACACCTGGTTGGGCTCTCTATTGCCATGTGTTTAACTGTATAGGCTCTCCGTGGTGCTCCTCACCATGTCAGCCTAATTCGGCCATTTTGTATAAAACTGGAATGTTCTGATTTGCTAAGGATAATGACAGAAATCCTACCGCTCTCGGAGTGGGCTCAGATGCAGTCCTGCAGCCCTCATCCTGTAAATAGTGCATTAGAACTTTATTCTAAAGACAAACAATGATCATGACACTCCATTGATACTGCACTGATATCGCAAGGGTTATGTGCCGAGAGTACCCTTAGCAAGAAATTTTCACTCTCAACTTTAGCCAGGGCTCTAGTTTTGCCACTTTTGGTAGGTCAATCATATCACAATACGTAGAGCACCAGCCTATTCGTTGGGGCATTTTGCGGACTGTCACACAAGCAGATCGACACATAGACAGGCCAGCTGTCCCACGAGCCTATATATCATCTTACAGAGCTAGCAGTGAGTGACATCAAGTGATTGAATACATAACAGAGGGTTGAGGTTACTAGACCGAAAAACCGTACCGCTTTTGGTGTGGGTTGCACAGCAGTCCTCGAACCTTCACTCTGAAACGGCGATAACATTGCATTTACCAGATTCAAAATCAAGAATAAGATCCCTTCGTATTCAAAAATTTGTAGTAAAACCGAAACTTTCAGAGGAAATCGTTTTCGAAAGCACGTTTCACGATAAGGGAAGTGGGCAAATCTGGTGTGAATAGGTGCTGAGTCGCCGGAAAGGAGGAGAAACTGCCGGAGAATGTACACGGAGGGTCTCGTTTTTCTTCGACTCTGCGATGCATAAATAGTGAAAAGTGCCAAGCGTCGAGACAGGACAGACTAGTGAGATGGCCGAGACCTCAAAGCAGGGTCAACCCTACGTTGTTACTAGTAACAACGGGGGGGGGGTCGTACCTGGTTGAGTTTATAGGAGGGGGGTCGTATCCGCTTCAGTCGCGTGAAAGTACATGTGAGTTTGTGGTGAAAGTGGAGTTTTCACGAGTAGTAGGCTAGGTGAGTTGGGAGCGCATGGGAGAAAAATTCGCCGTTTCAGCGCGCGTATATACCCCCCCCGCTCGCATTTTTGGAGGAAAAAGTGGGCGGAGTTTGGTGGGTTGAGTGGTACCAGAATTAAATACTATGGAGAGAGGATGATGTGGGTCGAGGTGGTCGAGTTGTGGAAAAGGGGGTCGTACCAAGTCCACCTTGGGGGAGGGGGTCGTAAAAATTTTTGAAAAAGTAACAGAACGGATAGGATTTTTACCCTGCCTTAAAGGCGGATTTGGCGGGACATAATTTGCTCACTCTTGCGAGTCCTAGGTTCTCAGCGCTATTGTGATGAGTCTTGAGTACTAAAAGTGGAACTTACCTCTACCTTTGGTGTGGGCTGGTTTGCAGGAGTGCACTCTTCACCCTAAAAATCCAGTCCTTGTATAAGATTACTCTAATCTAATCCTTCCCTAAAAGTGACAAATCCAACGCGACGCGTGTGAGCTCGAGATGCAGCCAAAAGTCTCATAAAGACTCACTGATATAATTTTCTCGGTTGTGCGTTTTTCGTCACAATTTCTGTAGTTTTCTCGGACGTCGTTCTCGCCGTTGTCACACCAGGTGGTCCTTCTTCCTTTGCAGTTACACACTGGAACACAGAAACCGCAGTTTTGTGGATCACTTCTGACTGTGCCTTATACACAAGGTAGAATGTGGAATTTTGGTAGGATCATAAAAATATCACCTCTGTTGTTTGTGGTGTGGGTTGACCAACAGCCGTAGACACCTCAGCCTAGAAAGAGGACAAGTAACAACAACGCTTCCTTATGTACTGCCACATTCTGAACTGGGGAAGTGTGGAAAAGCTGCCACAAGAGCATTTACTTTTATCTTTTTTGCACATCCCAACAAATACTAAGCTTAATCATTGGTTATGTCCAATTCTCTTCGAATTCTGACGAGAAATTTGTTTGTGTCATTCCGGCGTATTGTTTAGCCACGAATACCAAGAAATATGGCCGTCCATGCTCGTTTCTGAGTATCAATGAAGCCGTCCCTTTTGAAGCCACCGTCTACTTGAAGGCACTGGTCAGTAAATCCTTGTATTTCTCTTTGAGTAGAGTGAGGAGACGGGAACCCTATGCATAGTGGCGGTGGTACTGTGCGCCTGAAAGTGCACGGCAAGGAAGCCAATGCTCTAACTCTACCGCTGCGTGCGCTGCCAATGTATAAACGGTAGCCAACATTGACCTCACCTTGGTTTGATTTTCGACCGAACTAACGAACCATACGATCACGATCCTTGCCCTTGAAAAATTACCCAAGATCTTCAGCAAAACATATTATAGCGCCAAAATATCACATTCGATGAGAAAAACGACTCCTCATCCGTGTCTCGGGCGGGGCATTATGGTGCTTCAAACAAGCTATGCTATAAGGTCCAAAGAATATGTATCTTGTCCGCTCCAGGAGCTTCTAGAAGCAATTGCGCCAGCTTGTAGTGAGCCCTAGAGTTTCTGAAAACCGCGAGTTCCCTTCCGGAATATCACAATTCAAAAGCGGACTAGGAAATCCACGCGAACTGGGTGAATGACAACATGTAGCAACATCAAGCAAATTATCGATAAGCAGAAGTTGTTTGAATGATTCGACAAGTAGTCACTAAATACAAAAAACTAATGAGACAGAAAAAGGCGTCGAGTGGGGCACACGCGGAGGTGCCAGTGGGCACAAGCTCTTCCTCCAAGATCTCCTCTTGAAGTACGGGTAAACACGACAAAAGCAAATGACCACATCATCAGATAATTGAACAACTGCTAAAAGCCTGTTTGAAGCTGTACAAACCTGGTGCGGAACTAGCAACTTTTGAGTTGCCATCAAACCGTACAGCTGGAAAGTCTGCCACAAATACTCCAGTGCTACCATCATTCTTTACAAACAAGCAGTAAATGCAGGCAACAGATCAACTAAGGAGCATTTTCGTCACTTGATATTAAAAAACTCCCTCCATTAGTGCTCCAGACGGCCTTCAGATGTATTCGTGGGACAGTCATATAGGCTCCCACGTGTTTATAAAATTGTAGAAGAGTTGAATGTATGTGTGAAAACAGGACACCACTCATGAATAAAAGCGAGCTAACAATGCTAGCAACAGCGCAACGCAAAAAAGCTCGGTTTATCAAAATGAAAAAAGTGAAAAACCTCCATAAACCATACCGGCGTTGGCGTGGGTTGTACAGCTGTCCTACACCTTTCGGCCTGCAAATAACAGAGATTTCCTCTATAGTATTTGAAAGGCTGTGAACCGCCCGGCTAGAACGCCTGTCATAAATACTCCAGTGCTACTATCATTCTTCATAAACAAAAATTCCTCTCCACTGGCGGTCCAAACGGCCCCTGTTGTGTGCGTGGGACGGACATATGGGTTGCGAGGTAATTACAGGGTGGCGAAAAATTACGTGCCCCATAAAACACGTTCAAACTTGATTTGTTGTCCACAAAAATTTGAAAGTTATTGATTTTATAAAACAACAAACAATGACATTTTATAACTGTAAAAAAGATTTGGAGTAGCTGCCAGCAATTATGATACAGGCCTCAATTGTTTCTTCACCCAGTCAATGGTGCAGCGGAGGTGTTCAACGCATATTTCATTCCAAATTTTAGGCAGTTCTTTTCTGAATCACCGTTCACAATTAGTGAGGAGCGATGCCGCCCGAGTTCGTTATTAATTGCTTCTGAAA